AACAAAATTGATTAGTTTTTTGAAAGAATGTGTCTAGCCTAGTTGAGTGATCCTCATCCTCTCTGAGAACTAGAATGGGGATTGGTGTGAGGAGTGGGATATCCTGCTTCATTCCATTGCATGGCCCACTGAACTGTTACTCACAATCACATCCAACAACATGGAATTGGTTGCTGCATATGCCTATTCTGCTGTAACTGTACTTACCATTGGGATATGAATAAAGCAGGGAATTAATCAGAAATAAAGTTATGTGAATCAAAGTTCAAACATTTTTATCTCTTTCTAATATTTTAGTTACATTTCTTATTAAATACTATATTGTCTTATAATAAGTTTAGTGCTTACCTTTTAAAAACAAATACCCTGCTAATATTAAAATGTAATTACATCATATATATATATATATATATATATATATAGATAGATAGAGATAGAGAGAGAGAGATAGGGTTAAGTAAGTCAAAGGACCCGATATAAACAACTGTATATGCGTATGTTGGCATGTATACACAGTCAAGCAAATAAATAATCATCAAATTTGGCCAAGAAGTGTAAATGTAATAGTGCTTGATGTGGTTAGACAGAGCAAAGATATATATTAATAAAGGTACATATACAAATACCTATGTTTAAGTGTGTGACTTAAGTTTCGCTGGTTTTACAGCTCATCGGGCACAAAATAAAAATACACAGATGACACATGGGAGAGATATTGTTTCATTGTCCAAAAATAAAATAGGGCAAAAGTTGTAGAAAATGAATTGCAGGTAGTGTTCATTTTCAAAAAAAAAAAAGTAAAAGAAAGATGTGCCTTTAAAGTTAGGAATTTCAAATTTCAAATTTAAAGTAATAGCCAGGGACGCTGCTCTTGATCTAGTATATTGACATCAATGGGTTAAAGGGAGGTAAGCGGAGAGGGACCTAAATCTAAATGAAAGGAAAATTTAATAAAAGGAGAATATAATAAAAAAGAAATTAGCCGGGTTTCCAATATTTTAAGAGAAACTATTTTGTTTGCTTACAGACTATCATGAGTTTGTTCCACTTATTAAATAGACCAACTTTGTTAATATTTTTGATAATGATAGATAGACATAGGTTGCATCTCCACTCCCATGCTGGAAAATGGCTTGGTTTGGTCAACGAATTCCCAATTTACATGGAGTGTGTAGTCATCTGTTTTGATGCTCCAGTAAAACTTAGAGAATACTGTGGCATTTTCATATTTTTTGTTGTTAAGGGTCATTTTGTAATGATAAAAATGTTTTTTTCCAATTATTAGCAGCAGATCCGAAATAAAATTTAATCTAGCCATTGTGTTTGATACTAGCCTTATAGATAACTCCTTTATACATACATTTCCCATTCATGGGACAGAGGGTACCTTTACAACAATTACACTTTTGGTCATCAGGACTACAATTACTACTAGTGCTGCTTATGTATTCATTAAGAATTATACTATTATGTTGGGCTAAGTATTGCTCAAAGTTTTTAGTGCAGCTGTAGTTAACCTTAATGTTGTTGATTTTTTTGAGTAAAGGATTATAAAATGTTTGTGTACTAATTTAAGAAAGATACTACCAATGTTGGTCCTGATGTTACTGTTGAAGGGCAGGCTGAACCAAATAATATTGTGTTTTCTTTTTTTTTTCTATTGATATTCATACTAGTGTTGGTGATGTAATCTAGTTCACCATTGTGCTTACTTTTGTGTAATGCATCAACATATTTGGTTTTGTATTTGTTAAAGGTGTACTTGCTGCTGGAGTTAATGGAGAGTCTATGTTGTACAGATTTGTGAAGGTTACTAAGGATACACAGTGGGTGGCTAGATTCTTTACTAATATATGTTGATTATAAAGTTCTTTATTATAAGGCATGTGTACTCCTCTGGATAGATTGAACATAGTGTCTAGGAAGTTGATCACCTTGGTGTTGGTGACAGTGTTAATGTTAAGTCTGTGATCCTTAAAGAATTTTATTAGTTGTTTCCTAAGCTGGTCAGTATTCTGAGGCTTGGAGTTATGCAGAAGAATCACTCTATCGTCCCTGCACAGGCCGGTGTTCTCACTATTGAAAATATATCTGAGCCTCTATAGTAATAGTAAACCGACTAATTCGCAAGCTTCTGCAGAGTCAAAGGCTCCCATCACTATAGAGAAATTGGGATTGTCTTTTTTGGTTCACAAAAAACCATTTAAAAGATTCTTAATATGTTATTTGTTGTAGAAAAATAGTTATAAAGAATGCATTATTGAATATTCATGATAAAAAATAAAATTAAAAAAATACTTATGTAACAATTAGATCTCAGTGAGAAAATTAATTATCTTCACTTTATTGATCTTCGATAACTATTATATATATATTTTTTCTCAATATCCCTTTCTACATATTACTTCATTTTATCCTTTTTAGGCCAAGTGTTTATTGTATATAACAGTGTCACATTTATCCTTATACTATCCGAATTTAAGCAGATTATAATCTCTTATTTAAATGGGACTCAATGATTTCTGTTGAAGGCCTGTATGAAAGAAAATTACAAAGAAAGGACAGGAGTACATACAAACAGTGGCAGTTACAACTATAAAAATGTAAACACATGTACTTGCTAATTATAATTCTATTAGAACATGTAATCTTATTGTCCTCAGAATGAAAACACTTCACAAAGGCATAATAAATCAACCTATAAAAATTCCCATTTTTCAAATTGACTCTGTATACTTTGTGAAGGGCCTAAAAAATTTTATTAAGCATGTATCAAGCCAGTTAAGTACTTCCAGTGTTTCAAGACAGATCTAATATCTTCAAGATCTCATACAAGCATCTAATAGGAGTTTGATAGTTAGTTTGATGGTTGTCATTCATCTTTGGTAGATCTGTTTTTAATTCCTGGTGAAATAGTTTATCACCTGATAAAACAGTTTTTTTCTCTTGCTCACATTTTACCCCAATTGATGACATTTTGAACTATTGATTTTGATACTCTTAACTTGTTTACAGCTATATAATCTCATAGAACAAGGATTGGTGCACTGTGTGTATTGTGTTGCATTTCTTTCCTTCCTTTAAAGCTACATGCAGTTTTGTACCACAGTTGGCCTTCAGTTGGTTCATATTTGGCAGAAAGGTTCAATTTCCTTTTTTGCTTTGTTAACTCTTGGCACCCAATGTCACACAAGTGGTTGTTGATTTTCTCTTTTCAGACTACAGCCAGTATGTATCACCCATAGTTGAATGTGAGCACTCTACAACCTGTGCCATTTTGGAAATGTAGTGACCAAGTCTTCTAGTTATAACATAACATTTATCAAAGTCACTTGAATCTTTTTATAGATAATTGTGGCAATCATCAGATCAAAATGAAGTATTTGAGACTGCCTGCTTATATTTATATGATATGCACAGTTTTTACAAGAGATTACCTGTCATTTTTGCAACGTCTTTTGTCATAATGTCCTGGTTCATCAGGGTCTGATACTAGATATATGAGTAAAACAAAGATTCACAAAATAACCCAATTTAAAGTTGTCAGTTTCTGATGTAATTGCCATTGTAGACAGCTTATTTTATGGATTGATTGCTCTGACAGAAGGAAATATAGATATATGTTTAACTATTCCTTCACTTTTAAAATGTATAGAGTGTAATATATAATTTCTATATTATTTCTGTTGAGAATCAAACTTATCAGATGTAGGAGGAGAAAAGACAAAACATACTCTTTATTTTCTTACAACCTTTCCCTAAACCCTTTTGTTTATTTTTTCATTTTTCTTTTGATCAGTTATTATTTTTATTGATTTCTACCCCAGGACTGTATTTCCTATTTACCTCTTTTTTTATTTTTTGTTTAGTTTTCCCATCATCATAATGAATAGCATATCTCCATCTTCATTTTTCTTTCAATTTTTTAAATCATATTTAAATGTCCTTTCTGTCAACTAACATTAAACCAATGACATCATTGTTTGTTTAGTGTTGCATTCTGTCATCCTTGTCTTCTGGAAGTTTGGAAGTAATGTTGGAATTTATTATTTTTCTATTTCATTTTTTTTTTTTATTATCAATGGAGGTACAGGTTTCTTATAATTTTTACCATATTCCCATTATATCCATTTCTTATTTTTAATGACAGCAGAGAAGTCCTATATAAGTTTTTAAAATATCCCAGTAAAACACAAGGAAAAAAGTATCTTTTAAAAAAAAAATTAATGAGAAGAGTACACAGTAACCACATGGAATGATAACTGTAAAAGGACTTTTTAATTTTTTTTTTTAAAACAAATACTCACAGATGATGCATGTACATGTAATAACTGAGTTTGTTTTCTCTTTTTCTTTCTTTTTGATGAAGAGATTTTGGCATATTTATATATTATTTCTTTTTTTACTTTGAATAGGTTTTCAATATATATGTAGATTTTTCCTTTTTTTGTTTGTTTTTGGAGATATGTTACTTGTTTTTAAGTTGTATTTAACCATGTTTCTTTAAGTTTTAAACAAGTTCTTTCTATCATACAACATTTCAATCCTCTCATCTGCTTTCCTCAAGATACCAATGCATCAGAGGTCACAGTAACTAGATATATCAAGATTTGGTAGAATTATATTAGTTTTGCGCATATCTATCTGATAAAGAGTGGTAATTTAGAAACAGGATTACAAGTTTTGTATTTAGGTAAGTGTGCAATCCAAAGAAAATTAATTTTTCCAATAATAGATGTTTTAAGATGTTTTAATTCATTTTTCTTTTATATATTTATTTTCAGTGGCCTTGCTTGTAAAGATTTTAAATGCTCTAGTAGGTATAGGATATAGAAAGAGTGATAAAAAATAAATCCTAGATTCACTTAAAGAAAAGTAAAAATATAAACTTAGCTTTAAAATATCCTTTTTAAAGAATTTGTATTGCAGAACTTATTTATGTCTATTGTTATATCATCCACTAGGTCATTAATTTATCAATAATTTATTTTTATTTACAGATGCTACATGGAAACAATTTATTGACCAGCCCTGCATGGAAGAGATTCGCAAACGTGCTGCTTTTATTCATGTGGATATTCCTGGCCAAGAGGATGGTGCAGCAGATCTGCCATCTGAGTATGTAACTTTTTATTTACAAGACACCAGTATAATGAGAGAATATACATTTAGATCAAGGAACAAATTCAAATCTTAATTTCCTTTACCTAGTATATAACTATTATAGTCTGGCTTGCTTATTAAATCCAAAACTATCCATATCGCAAGTAACTAAGTAATTTTAGCATATATTGAGATATGTTACTCTTTCATGTATAGCAAAATGCAAAATATATTAGTCACTTAATATGCAATTCTTCAAAAGTTCAGCCAAAATAACGTAAAATTTATTACTTAATTGCTGTAATGAGCCAAATTGCATGGAGACAAAATTATTTTCTTGTTTAAATTTAGGCATGAAGAATCAGTATGTGTTTATGTTTGTATTTTACCTGGATGGAATTCAAGCCTGTGCACCCATGTACCTGTCTGCACGTATATGTGGAATGTCATGGTTATTTGTCCTTTCCATTTTTTTTTTACTTTACACTCACTCCTTAATCTTTTTCTCTCTTTTTCTCTTTTTCGTCAATTATAGACATTTTTATTATTAGTTTTCTATACATATACTGTTGTTAATTCTTATGTATTTAGTTTTTAGTAGTTTGTGCTTGTTTTTATTATTGCTGCCTTAATGATTTCTGTACATGAGAAGTCAATAGATATTACTTGATAGTTTATGATTTTCTAGTGGTAGCAATTTGGATGCACATGAAGAAAAATAATTAAATTTTATTTATATATATTTATATATATATATATATATATATAAAAAGTGGTGTTACTTCAGATTAAATTAGAATAAGTTATCAGTGCAGAAGGTGCTTTTATTAAATTTTATTGTCTTTGTACAATATTTATGTAAATATTACTAATGTAATTAAATATTATACTGGTTTCTACACCTTTGGTATGAATTTGTTCTTTCAATTTATCTGTAGAGATAGATTGTATTAACTTAATATGTTGTATTTTACAAAAGTAAATATTTAATTTTCATTTTTTTATTAAAAGAAAAATAATTTTTTACTGCACCCTTTTTTTCCTTTTCTCTCTAAGGATAATAAAACAATCATTGAATGTTTACTTTTAAAGTATCTATAGTTTTGAGATGAGGAAATAAAAATTGTATTCATCTTTCATATCTTTGTGTACTTTTGTTCTTAAATCTGAAAATCTTATTGATGAATAGATACATCTAAGTCTTTATAAAACATATACTTTGGTATGGAAATATGTTTGAAATACATATTATCTAAAAGTAGAAATATTTTATTTAAACTTATATCTTCATCTTGGTTGAACTACTAGTAAATTTAATGTAAAATTTCTCTACTCTAATTGAAATATGACCATCACAAATGACATTTTACCTTTGCCTCAAATTCATGTGTGTATTTGTCATTAGATTAATAACGCCATTGAAAGTTTTACATTTACATGTTCATTATTGTGAAAGGTAATCTTTGCTGTATATTTCACTATCCACATCTCATCTACTTTTGGAGATACATTCACACATTCCATAGATCTTTCTTTTGAGCAAGATAATATAAATACCATCATGACCAAAAGCTGCATATGGTATTTATAGTGTAATCTACAAGATTACTATTCTAATGAAATAATAATCAGTAAAATCAATAATTCTGATAATTTCTTTTCTTTTTGGTATTTGTTTAATACTTGTTGATTCTAAGATATTTTTTGCTGACAACTTTTGTAGAATGCAATTTTCATACAATAATTTGTTAGTAAAGCATACAATAGGAATGCCCATTTCATTTGGTTTATTGAAGAATAATTCAATAAATATCCAAGATAGGATGCAGTATTGAATTATTCAACTATGACTAAGAGATTCCTCAGCTAATGTATGTGTACTGCTCTGCATATTTTCTTGGGTTTCTATGCTTAAGTTATTTTTTCATTATTTCTCATAAGGAATATGATATCTCTCCCAGCACTGGAAATGCCATCTATCAAATTTGTATCTAATGCATCACAGTACACACCTACTTTCAGATATATCACCAAGTTTAAAGAAGACAATATCACATGATTACTTTTTAGATTTTTAACATTAGATTTTAGTGTAGTGATATGTAAATGACTGTCTAATTAGCACAGCTAAGGCATAGACTATATAAATGCCCAAGAAGTAAGGGTAGAGCACCTCTCAGTATGACAAAATACAAAGGAAATCACACTTCATAACAGTATGAAGAAAATCTTCAAATTTAGGATTTTTAAAAATTTATAGACATGCTTAATTCTAAATAATAATTGATATATGAATATGTTTGATTAGTGTACAGTGTTTTCTTTGGGGCTCAAATTATTATACCTTCTTGATGAACAAAATACATTAATTGGAATCTATTCTATATTGTCAATATAAAAGTTTGATCAAGGACATTACTATTACTCTGATGTTGAATTCTCAGGCCTGTGATATGTGACTGCCATCTGCCACTTTGCTAATTTTGAAAGCTGTTGGAAGTTTTTCTATCACTTTTCCAAATAATTTTGTTCTGGCTTACATAAAAATTATCAACTTGCATCAGTAAAAAGACAAGAAAGATAATGCCATAGAACAAAGCTCAATTAATTTCATATTTGCAATCAAATTTATTTAATTCTTTATATATATGGAGATGTTACCAGCTTCTGGGTGCATCATTCAATTCATGTACACATTTGCATAGAAACCATAGCATTGGCTTCAAGAATCAACTCCAGATGCACTTATCACTCAATAATATTTCCTTGAAGAAAATCTGTTTTATATTAATTGTTCTACATTCCCAATTAAGTGTACAAGCTATTACCAAGAAAACTTTCTTTGCCAATAAAGAGAATCATACTGTATATTTATGTTCTTTTGAAATTCATGCACCACTAATATTGGTTTAATTAATTTCTATACTCTATTTTTTTAATCTTCTGTTATGACTTGCCTTGTTCATATACTTGACTGTCCTGTATCAGATATTTCACAAACTTGAAATATTTTCAAGTTGTCTAGTTCAGTAAGTTTAACTGTGTAAACAGCATGTACATGATGACATTGAAACATTCTTGAGCTAAAGTTTTACTGTTTTCAGACATATTTTTGTTAATGTACACACAGTGACTTTGTGTTTCAAAGTTTGTGGCTTTTATAGTCAATTCAGATTTATCATGTTTGTTAAACCAAACAGAATATTTACTTGTAGCTTTATACCTCTACTGAAAACTTCTGCTTCAATTCAAATGTTGCCATTTTGTCAAAGATATCTTGCATCACTTTTGGAAAGTTAATTATATTCTTGTCTTTTTTCTGATTTATTTCATTTCATCAGTTATTTTGTACTTTTGATTCACTAACAATCTGTAGTTGATATTTTTTGTTCATCAGGTGATGATGCATTATTGACTTCATCATTTCATTGATAATTAATTTTTCAAGTTTGACATTCTGTATGATTTTTTTTGAATGGTTTCCAGAGTTGGATTTGAGTTCTTGCCCAATTTGACAAAATAACATGTAGGTAAGTGCACATATATATGACTATGTCTGACAAATACAATTTCTTTCATGCTGTCCAATAATCTTTCCTGAACCTTTCCATTTGATTTATCATTGATAAACTATATACAGAATCAGAAGCTCTTGTTTGATGTAGTATTTTTTACTTGCAGAACAGCCTGAATAAATGCTTTCTGCTCGGAAGAAGCATATTCAGATCTTTTGTGAAAACTTCACTTAACTGTTATGCTGTATAGAGCTTGAGGCTTGTCTATTAACATGGAAGATAGATTTGGATTCTTTCCAAATGCTAATTGACTGTCCACATACCATCTGTAATGTGTTTTAGCATTTAAGTACCTATGCAAGAGCAATTTCAAGATCAAGGTTTTGTTGTCAGCAAGAATTCTTTGCATACAGTCATCTGCAACTGCTTGATTTCTTTCACATATCCCATTTTGCCATGGACTGAATCTAGCAGTATTTCACACTTCAATATTCAGGTATCCTGACCATATTGTAATATTCTGTGTATGTAAATTCACTACCATTGTTGTTTAAAAACTTTTGGGGGATCCATTTCCAATCTAGTGGGTCATGATTTTGTCATTAGTAGATGGCATTTTATCATACATAATAACCTTGTCTGAGTCAAGTTGCAATATATATTGAATGTAAAAAATAAGTTGCTGGTTTCCATTTTCCATGGCAAAGTGTTGTAGTATTTTTTTTTTTTTAAGTGTTTCACCCCAAGCAAGGCGGGAAGTCACTCGGACGCAAGGGGTTACAGAAAATTTGGAGCAAGATCAGATAGGAGTGATAGAAGAAAGAATGAGAAGGGTAGTGGATAGATCAAGGCAACTGGAGATGTCGATTGACATTACATTTGAATAGCTGGAGATTATAGCTCTCAGGGAACTAGAATAGGGAAGGGAGTTCCACAGGCGAGAGGTGCGAGACATGAAGCTATTGGAGTAGAAGAGATGGCTACATTTAGGAGTTTTAGACAGTGAAGGGGTGAGAGCGGGATGCCAGCCTCGTCCGGGCGCTTGAACTCATGAAGTCTGGGAACCAGCGAATGCAGCTTCTCGGAGCAATTGCCATGAAAGTATTTGTAAAACAGACAGAGAGAGGCGACTAAGATCTGTGAGAAAGTGTCTGTAGACGAGATGCCAGATCAGGGCCAATTATATTGCATATCCGCCTCTGGAGCCTATCAAGAACCCCCCCAGGCAAACAGAAGGGGCTCCAGACCATATATGGCAGCAATACTCCATGCAAGGGCGAATTGTTGATTTGTAGATCTGGAGGATGGATTCCGGGGAGAAGAATTTCCTGTCGCGGCACAGGGAGCCAACTTTCCTTGTGGTGGACGAAGCAATTGACTCAATGTATTTGTTCCATCTCAGGTCAGCTGTCAACGTGAGACCGAGCAGCTGCAGAGAGGTGCTCTCAAGCAGTTGTGCGTCAGACATTCTAACACCTACAGACAATAATGGTTATGTCC